ACTTTACATATAGACACCACATCGGCCTGGATACATTGATACGAATACATTTGTAGCCACGTGGTGCTGGTGCGCAGCGAGCAAGTGCTGCGCAAGTGCGGAAAGGCGTCGCCCGAGTACCGCGCGCTCGAGAAGCTCCACCCGCTCTCGTACGCTGGCTTTGCAGGTAGCATCGTCGTGCAACTCGACGTACGACGGCCATCGATGCAGGCATTGTCGGCGCGCAGTCAGTCATGTTTGCCAAAAGCTCGGGCGAGCTCATCCAGCTCTCGCTCCAAGGCCGCAACCAGTTCAATCGAGTCCTCACGTATGTGATCCTCGCGGGCTTGGTCCTAACGATTAGCGTCCAAGTACGTGGCGAGTCGTCGTCGTCTTCTGGGTTTAGACTTGGGTAGACGCACATGCTCGCGCTGGGGCTCAAGCACTTTGATGCGCTCTACATGGTGCCCGTCTTCACCGTACGTACTGTCGTGCTGTATTGCAGCATCGAGTCGAGATCGCATAGTGCTTCTTCATTTCGTTCTCGGTCCTCGGTGGCGCCGTGTACTTTGACGAATTCCAAGCCTTTACGCTCTACCAGTCTATCTGCTTCCCGCTCGGCGTCGCCATCACCGTCGGCGGCGTCATTCTCCTCTCGCGGCGTGAGATGCGGCTGAGCGAGGTATGTACACCTGACGACAATGAGGCTATCATCTTTTGACGCGTTAAACGCTATGCAGACGACGCTCGATGGCACGGCGTCGCCGGGCACCGAGAGCCAAGATTTCGCACTCACCACAACACCGACCTTCACGCGGCGCGTCGATATCTCGGTAGCACCCTCTCAAGACGTCCACACTAACGTTAGTGTAGTAGGAAGCATAGATACCCGACGACACATCGCAATCCTATTTTGATGCTCGTTCGCACATCTCTTTCCCCCTGGTGGTGGCTCCCACGTCGTGTGCGATACGTCCTGTCTCGTCGTCGCAGGCTTGCGATGATGATGATGATGCTGGACACTGCGTGTCGCGTGATCAACCAACCTTCTTTGAACCGCATTCGGATCGCACCAAGTGCAATGTCACGGATCGCCATGCATCTCTGATCTTTTAACCCACGAGAAACATGGTTGCAGCCTCCGCGCCCGCCGTCAACCAAGGCTCGTGGCATCGTCTGCACGGTTGGAGGACGCATTGGTGCTCGAGCGATCCGACGCCGCATTGCATTACGTCCTGTTACGGCGGGTGCGACGTCAAAGCACTGGACGGTATACTTAGTCCAAGAGATGAGACCTTCGTTGCGCAGAGGCGAGGAACACTCTCTCTCGAAATGTCCGAAAAACAGAAAAATGAAAAAAATACAAGGGTCGTCGCCCGGTATTTTAAAAAAGACGATAAAACTGCACCTCGTCAGAGAGGCAGTCGCGCGCGTTTTGATTGGCGCATTGGATTCTGCTGGTGCGTCCAGCGTGCATTAAAATACAGTGTTTTCGACCGTCCCACGGAGCTGTTTTTAGAATATCTTGGTGTTTGTATGCCATTTTTTGCGGCGGGGTAAAAACGAGAATAAAAATACAGTACGCTGCCGGCTTCGGGTTTCACGGGCCGGTTATTGCGACAGATTAAAAAACTGCATCGGACCTGCGGGCGCCGAGGTACTCTGCGACCGACGACGCCGCCATGGACGCTCATGCGCTCGATGCTGTAGATGTCCGACCATGAGACCAACACGTCCAACCTCTTCATCGGCATTGGCATCTGCTTGATCGGGTCGACGATCTCGAACCTCGTGCGTCCAGCCCGGCGAGAGCGAGCACGGGTGCTGACTCTCTTCCATGCCTGTGTAGGGGCTCAACATCCAAAAGTACTCGTTCATCATGCAGGCGCACCTGCCCGACCACGAGCGCAAGCCGTACAACACGCAGTGGCGGTGGTGGCTCGGTTTCTTCGGCGTCGGCGTCGGGTCCATCGCGGACTTTGCCGCGCTCACGTTTGCCGCGCAGGTACGCGACCTTGGCCCATGCGCCGCATACGACAGCGCGTGTGTAGAGTATCATCATGCCGGTCGGCGCCTTCACGCTTGTCTGCAACATTATGTTCGCGCATTTCTGGCTCAAGGAAAAGCTCACGCGCAACGATCTCTGGGGCACCGTGTGGATCGTGATCGGTGCCGTCATGGTCACGGTCTTTGGCTCGCACGAAAGCACCAACTACACGCTGCACGAGCTCCTGCGCTTGTACTACCGCTGGGACATGCTCATCTACCTCGTCTTCATCGTTGGCGTCGTCTTCTTCCTCTACTCGATGCTCATGAACGCCGAGCGCATTCTGAAAAAGAAGGGCGCGCTCTCGACCGAGTACAAGACGGTGCTCAAGACGCACCCGCTTGCGTACGCCGGCCTCGCTGGTACAGCTTCTTCTTGCCTCTCGTACCTATGAACTAGAATCTGATTTTT